ACCTTTGTACTTGAGGTTCTCCAAAAGCAGAATTTTCTAAATTATAAAGGAATAAGCTGCCTGTATTGATGATTGTGGTGATTCAAAGTCAATTTCTTTGAACACAATAAAAGAAAAGCTTACAAAATGTAAGCATTAAACACTTTAAGACATGCTCTGACCTCACCAGATCATCATCTGGTGGAAGCAACAGCAATCCATTGTTCTACAGGACCTAAACTGGTTTCCCCAACTAGGAATCTACTCCACTGACTTTCAGCTCCTATGTCAAGAAACACTTTGTATGCATTTGCTTCTCTGTAGTGCGAGTTGTATTTACTTGGCTGTTGAAAGTAACTGGGAAGCAAAGTAGGTTCTTTCGAACACCTTTTTCATATGTTCACATGCTGCCTTTAATCACATTTGCAGGAAGACCTCAGCCTTTCATATACAGCTCTAAGGATGTCAGTAGTGCTGTGAGATCAGATCTCTGTACTACCAACGGCCATGTGACTGTCTCAGCCTGTCACAATACTTGATCAGGAAATTATTTTTTATTATGGAAACTACTTTCTTTGGCTTTTCTGCTTTAGGCTCTTCAGACATACCAGACCGATCCTGCCATGAGGAAGATGCTAACTCAGCTGTACTTCTATATCATGCCTGTATTTAATGTGGATGGATATCATTTTAGCTGGACAAATGTAAGTAGTATCAGTAGTATTGCTCAAAAAATTGTTCAGACAGGAAAGATCGAATGGTTGTTACATCATTCAAAGGTGAGTTTCTGTATAATCTGGTCACTTTGTGGCATGCAAAATGAAAGTAAATTACTCCAGTTAAAATATAAGACTGAATATGTTTACCAGGGTTGGTTTGTTATGTGTACGAATTGATTTTTGCCAAAATATAGTAATATTCCTATTTAACTATTTTATAACTTATGTTAGGATCGATTTTGGAGAAAAACAAGATCAAAGAACACAAGGTTTCGGTGTCATGGTGTTGATGCTAATCGCAACTGGAAAGTGAAATGGTGTGGTAAGTCTGGAGATACTTTGGTCCACCAGTTCAGATTACTCTGTATTTAATTATCCAACAGAGTAAGTAGGTTAGGTCACATCCATTGTGAACTGTTCTCTTTTCCGTAGTTAAACTACTTTCCCATAAAGCCACAAGCCAGGGCTCAAATCTTCCTTCTAGCTTCTCAAAAAATAAAAGACTTGAACTTTGGAAAAACACAACTCATCACAAGCAAAAAGTTTTCATGGTGAATGTGGCAAAAGTAACATCTGCACATCAAGCTATTCTGTATTTCTGCAATCATGTGAGTAATTTGAATGAAGCATGGTATTGAGCCTGGCCCATCACATTTCAGAATTTACCTGACTACAGCTTTAGGAAACATTTAAAAATTCATTTTATTTAATTCATCATTTCTATGAAATGGTTTATCTTTGGAAATATTAGACTTGCTTTGTTGGCCTCCCAGAGAAATGTCTGAGAATATTTTAAGGCCATTATTGTTAGCAATTTAATAAAGAAAGAAGGTGCTTCTAAATGCATGGAGATTCAATTTTAAACTCCCAGCACTTCTGTAAATAATGTCATAAAAATTTACCTCAATTATGCATAGAGAATGCAGCAGTAATGAAACACTAGCAGATTTGGAATAGGTCCACTGAAGAAGAAACGGTATTTTATTAAATCTTACAGCAAGACGGTGCAAGTCTCACAGGAGTAGGCAGCCACACAAGTTCTGGTGCAGCAGAAGGTAACAGCACTTTGTTGTGAAATACGGCGATATATAGACCTGGTTCTTCTGCTGACCTGCTCCCCCAGCTTCAGCAGCTTCCTTCACCCCTCTGTGCAGCTGATTTCTCCTCCAGCATTCGTCCACCTTCCTTATTTACATTACGAACTCGTAAAGACAGAAATTGTGTTTGCATAGCGCTCGCACAACAGCCCTCCCTTCAGCCCCTCCCTCTTCCACTGGAAGTCTCTAGATGTTTCCACAATACTACGATTGCTTGCAGGAGCGGTAAGCACTGTACAGTCTGGCTTGCAGCGATTGGATTCTTTAAGTAGGTTTCTGAGAACTGTAAGGATAAAAGTGAGTGTAAATAACTTGGCTAGTGCGACTACAAATGAGGTGAGAGTGAACAGAAGCACACATTCAATTCAGTGTGGACTTGTGAAATACGCTTCCAATTTTTTTCAACTCTACTCCCAGTAAGGAGAGGACTGACACCAAAGCAGTTACAGAAAGTCTATGTTAGCTGAGAATCCCTCCACTACAGAAGACAGTCCCAGGGCTGCTATCACGATTTTTGAGGCAATTTTATGTTGCAAAAATAATGTAAAAATGAACCAAAGTCCTACATCACTGTTCCCATCTTTTACTTCAGTGTGTAAGTCACAACTGCAGGTATTCTGGGGACATAAATTTACTGTTCAGAAGCTAGCCACCGGTGTAGCTGGAACAAACAGTTCTCTTACGAAGTCTTCAGAGCCATATTACAGTTACCTGTCAGTGCAACATTACTACTCACACAGGACATTGTCTTTCTAGTCCTACTGAATCTTTCTTGGGTTCAAATCACTCTGCTCCTCCCTTTTCTTGCTTCCCAGCCGCTGTATTAAAACACACTTTTTCACTCAGTCCTGAAGATGTTTGCTTAGTTTTCAGTAAAAAAAAATTTTTCTAGGCTGAGGGAAACTGTAACGGGACACAGGCACACTGTGTGTTGTAATCCGCTACTTGTTGCATTTCGCCCCTGCACTGAACATGAAAGACAGGTCCCCACCCCAAGTTTAAAAAATAAAAATTCATTCAAGGTTGCTTGTCATCCCACTAAGCATGTGCTCTGCTTCCCACAGCAGACCCCAAACTCTGTCTGATTCTCTATTTTGCCAGAGAATAAAGAGGTCTTTCATGAACTGAGCTGACTGGTGCTCAGAAGATACTCACCCGGCGCCCCATATTGTCATTAATCTGACATTAAATGAGGCAGAGAAGAATCTGGATCATATCACACTTTGAGCCTTGTATAATCATGGTGTGTTTAACATTTAATACTGTGTATGCTTCTCAAAACCTTTTAATTCAGTTCAGTCGCACTTCCAGTTTGCAGACAGGGCTTGAACTTCGCCGTGGGGCTTCCAGGCAGGTGTGTTGTGGCAGAATCTGGCCCCAGCAAAGCTGCTGAATGCTAGCTGCAGTGAGCTGGTTGGTAAAGATAACAGCATCCCTTCTGCTTTTCTCTTCCCTTCTAGTGTAGGACTTTGATGTAAGCTTTATGATGTTGCTTCCATGTTCTCTAGAAACCAAGGAAAGGGCCATATCACTGATCGTGGTAGATTGAGCTTTGCAGCACCCTGTGCCCAAAATAGTGCGCAGAAATCTCACACAGGCCCAGGTGAATACTGACAGCAAGATCTCTGGGTAGGAAAGCTCCTTACAACATATATATGTGTGCAATGACTAGCACAATGGTTTCATGTTCATGAAATAGCAATTTTAAAGCCAATGAGGTACTTGGAACTAAATCATGTCATAGGGCAAATCCATTGGGCATCCGAAGCCCCTGAGAAAGCAGCAGTCAGAATTAAAATTTCCAGTGCATCCCAGTTTCCAGTGCACCCCATTTCTCACCGAGGACAGTTCCCCATACTGGCAGAAGAAGTGGCTGCAAGGAAGTTTGAGAATCATGCTCCAATTCATCCATCCTCCCAGTCTGCCTTCTGTACCAAAGCACTGGTTTTATCAGTCTCTGCACACATTTCCTTTGTATATTTGATCTCCTGATGGATGTTGGAGGATTCTTGTCCTCCCCCGGAATGCTATCAGGTACAAAAATAAGGCAGCATGATGACATTTTATGCAATTCCATTTTCCTCTCATGACTGTAACTCAGAAATTTCACAGGGTTTGGTATGTACTGTATCATTTCTTTTCCTTCTTGTGTTACTTTAAAAGAACTTGCAGTATGAAAATTGAGGATAACCTTACATTATCCAAGGCCACCACTTTTTACTACCAGCCAGCTTCACTTAAGGAAAAGCATTAACTACAGCTGGGATTGCAAATGGTTCCTGACAGTAGGCTGGACGGTTTAGAGAGTTTTTTCTTCACTGTCGTATTTTACCATTGGCTTGTCAGATTCTGCTGTTTGTTAACCGCAATGTCCATTTTCATGATTCAGTATACAGCACTGTTACAGGAGATGAAGTATCCATAAAAAAAAAGCAAAGGCTCCGGAGGCTCTGTTAAATAGCTCTCCTTTAGCTATACTATCTGCTGAGACATTGAGGCAGAGTGCTCTTGGGATTTGGATGACTTGGTGGCCATCTGTTCTGCAGGGAGGAGACCATCTGCCCTCTGTATAACCCTTCCATATCCACTGCAGTCTAAGCACTAACACCTTTCGAAATCCCCACCTGTGGCCATTGAATAGTAGCCTCGATTTTCATATTACAAACGAAGCTGCAACATTAAATTCTTCCACTTTTTAATTTTTTTTTTTTTTGCATTAGGTTCATTGCATAACCCTGTTTTAGTTCATATTATTATGCCTTCAAACACATTGCTTATTTCTTGGTATTTGAAGATGGCAGTGCTTACTATACAAAGCAAAGCTAATAAAACACTGCTTTTGTAAGTCCCTGATGACACCAGGGAATGTTGCAAACAAACTATTATTCTTCTGTGGGTCAGTGTAAAATGTGGCATTTTGAAATCACAGTGAATAAAAGAGCGAAGTGGATTTGCATAAATATTGTTCTTTTGGGCCCAGGCCCTAAGCTGTAAATGAGACGGTGGCTTGGATCCAGAATTGCTAAATGATAAAGGAGCCACTGCCACATCTCCTTTTCTGAGTTTCATCTTTCAGTACCTTATGGGATATTACATGCAGGCTACACTTCTGCGGCTTACTGCCACCTGAGCAGGTTGACGTGGTGAAAGATATCCTCATAACTGAACCCCTGCCCCATACTTGAATGAAAAATTAGCCCTGTGAAAACTGAGATTATTTCCATTTTAGCTAACTGAGCAATCATCCCATGTGCCTCGTCATGTTTTTCCCATAAGGTTCACAAGAATAAAAATAGGTAGTAGTCAGGGACAATTCTCATGTTTTAAACCAGTCTCTGAGCTAATGCCTGTTGAGGTTATCCACCTGCCATTGTAACCATCACTGAAGTAGCTCGTAGGTTAAAATGCCCTTAAAGGGTAGATTTGTCTTGGCAGCGACTAGCGAAAGAGGTATAGCGCTCTGATTTCGAATAGACTGAGACCCTTCAATAGTTTTAATGCTGGAATGCTATCATAAAATGTGCCACTCATATGGAAAGCTAGGGAAGAAAATACAATTAAGTCAGGCTCTCCTTTTTCTGTTGGGGTAGAAATATGCCATCTAGGTACAGCTGTGTGTAGTTGGCCAGCTGGCAACTTGGTGTGTCTACTAGATGGTCGAGCAGATTGCTGTAACGAGGTCCCACTGGCTCATGCCCATCAGTCACAAGAAAGCAATTTGTTCATTGCTCTTTGCATTTCTGCATGTAGGCCCACGCAGGCTGAGCCAGAAGTTGACCCTTAGAAATTCTCCGCGATGGCTCACCATCAACTTTCTCTTTCAACCCCTAGATGAAGGTGCTTCCTTTCACCCGTGCGATGACACCTACTGTGGTCCCTTTCCTGAGTCTGAGCCTGAAGTAAAGGCTGTTGCTCATTTTCTCCGCAGACATCGGAAACAAATAAAAGCCTATTTGTCCTTCCACGCATATGCACAGATGCTGCTGTACCCGTACTCTTACAAATATGCGACTATTCCAAACTTCAGCTGTGTGGTAAGCACTTTGGCAGCTGGGAGAATATACTTCCCTATATTATATACTTTGGTATGCTCTGTTTTGAGAGGAGGCTTGCTTCTTCAGTGCTTTGCACATATGTAATATTGAGCAGTATTTATACTAGATCCGCTTGCAATCTCATTTCTGCTTATATAGCCATCACTCAAAGTGAGTCAGCAGTAATTTGATTAAAATGGTATAGTGCCTTCCATCCATCAGTCCCTTTAAACTACTTTATAGGAGAAATCCCTGGGTATTAATTATAGTTATTATCATTTTATTTAATTAACTGTAATGGGAATTATGTAGTTAAGTCCTTGCGTATCTAGCTGAAATTCTGTCCCTTCATGCTCAGAACTTAGACACTAGGAGCACAAAGATCATCTTCAATTTTATGAACAAAATAAAATTGAAATGATGTATGTTTTTCAATTAGAGAAGAAATCTCATAGATTTCACCAAAAGTAAAGCTTTGATTGCTTTATTATCATCCTGCTCAGACATAGTGTTTTTAACCCTTTAAGACAAGCAGTTAATTAACATCAGGGGCTTTTGTCTATGAGAAGAATGAATTAATAAGTTTTTTTGATGCAAGCCTATCAATTTACAGATACATGCATTTCATGTATTCCATGCTCATCCAAACACAGAAGATCTATTCCCTCTGCTCACAGTCTGAGGTCTGTTTTTAGCCAGACCCCTGTACATAAAACCCTCCCTATGGCTTACTCTCTTAGGGAAACATGGCTAAGCTTCACTTTCTGTTTGCTTCTGCTCGCAGACACACATTGCACCAATCAGTCACAAGCCTCTTTTCTTTCGCCCTCAAACCCCGGTGAAATTGCATTGTCCATATGTCTCCCATTTTGGCCTTGAAAGCTGCAGTGAGTTTTAACTTCCTAGCTTAAGCTAGTTTACTCCAAAAGAGCTTAACTGCACCTTAGATTTATCCTGTGCAGAACAAATGATGTCATCAGTCCCTGGAGCTTCACTGAAGTTTCACTCAGCTGCCCTCTCAGGAGGCTGAGCAGCCAGCACTCCACAAACTAAACTCTCTTTGTGGGTTTAGTTCTGTTAAGATACTTAATTTCAGCAGCTACTAAATATTCTCCTGTCTGATGTCATTCCTGGGAAACGGAGAAAATTAGAAGTTAACTAAGCAGCCAGAGGAGCTAAAAATATTAAACTGGTGGGGAATGACCGCCCAGCACTGCACTGACTGTGAATAAACCCATGAATCTTATTTTTATTCTAACCTTCTTCACCCTCTTTTGGGGAGTGGCAAAGGGAAAGGAGAGCTCCCCAAGCGAACTGGTGACTATTACTTACCAAAAAACATAGACCGGGAATTTAAAACCACAGGGTCTCATTCCTTTGAAGACAAGCAGGTGCAAGAATATTTTTTTAAGAACAGACAAGACAGCAGAAGACATGGCGTTAGGAAGACTGAGCATCGGCTCTGCAAGAAGATGATTGTTGGACATCTTTATGAAAATACCCAGAGTAACGTAAGACAATAGCAGGAAATTCATTGTAAGGAAAGCAGGTCCTGAGAGTTTTCACACATACCAGTAAATCTTCAGTACACGTTGTTCTTGTTGCGCAAGGGCTATTTCCATTCTGAGACAGGGAGAAACTGGCCCTTAGCACACACTCTACCTTTCCATCCACAGCTTTTAGACCAAAGGAACCCAATTTTTGATGAGTAGTAGGTGTTCCCTAGGTTTGTGAGACCTGGAATCAGGCATGTCATCAAAGGGAGTGGAGCACAGACCTAAAGGGACAAAGAAAGACACTATTTTAGACAGCAGCCCTGGACAAATAGAAGGCAAATCCCAGTTCTAAATATTTTGCCAGTATTTGGCCTCTGTACTTCTTTTTATTGCAGTGGGTCAAAAAGAACAGGGAGGTTGGAATAAGAAACGGAAGTAATTTCTCATTATTTAGAAAGCTTGTTACAATAATTGCAGTGAAAATGAATAGAATACTGTTGCTTATTTATTTGTGTGTTTTAACATTTGCCTACAGCCAAAGGCGCCTTCACCTGGTGGCTCCAAAATTAATAGTCTTTAATATTTGGAGTATCTATAATGGTGACTTCGGCTGAGGTTTCAGATTCTCCAGTTCTCTTGGAGAATTACAGTGAGCCAGCAAGCAACAGATCTCTATTTCCTGCTGCTGATGGAACAAGCATTGTTGGTCTACATGGACTGTGTACAGTGGACAACCATAGGGCTCCACGTGCATAGCAGATAAACAACATTTGGTGCAAACAGGGGGCCACAATTAATCCTAAGCATGTTTCTGCCTGGGTCATATCATCCCAGTGAGCTGTCAGTTACCATTTCGATTAAAGTGTTCAATTATTCAGAGTTGCTTTGAAACTGGAGAGCTGTGTACTGATCACAACATGCGTATTCTGTTCTAATTTAGGTGCAACTCTCTTATTAACACTCTCCTCAAATCTGTTCTTTTAAGATACTTCAAATGAAAGTGCACTTTTAGATTGAAAAAACAAGCAGAAACATTCATCCACCTCGAGAGTTTTAAATTGTACCTACTTTTCATCTGTTTTCTTCCTGTAGAGTTGTTTGCCTCAATGTTTGCAGTGAACTTATACGGCATGACTGAGTTTGCGTATGTCTTTGTAACAATCGGTAATTTTATGTGAAGCTTTCTGCCTGAGGGTGTTCAAAGACTAGTTGCCAGGATTTATTCAGGGTATGACCTGCACAGTATGATGCAGTTGAGAACTGTCCCCTTCTTTGGGCATGTAACTCCAACAGTGGAAGCAAGCAGCACCCCTCGAGGCTATGAGCAGAGCGTTCGTGCTGCCAGGGACTCCTGCCTACGTGGTGGACGTGGATTCGGGCCCCTCCCGAGCTGCCCTTGAGACGGTTGCTGCCTCTGCACAGAACCCAGTACTGTTGTGCTGTTTTTAAATGAGCATTGCCAAACTATTTCTTCAGCAAGATTTCAACAGGGCTTGCCTCTGTTGTCTCAGTGAGTAACTCGTGCATGGGGAGTCTTCTCCTTTTCCATGGCATGTTTACTGGGATGTTGCTCTCCACCCACCTCCGCTCCCTCAGCTGAGCCCTGCCCTTCGCTCCCTCGGCATCAGGCCTGTTGTCCGGCCGTCCCAGCTCCATGTCACGGCCCCGGGGTGCTAAGCACCGGGCTCGGCTGCTCGACAAGTTTCTGTTGAGCAGGTGAGTCTGGTACTCAGGGCTTTGGTGCAGGCACCAGACAAGAGCCCCAGGCTGCAGCTGGAGCTCCTCACTCCCCGGAGCCCTGTGAGGCCCCATGGCCACCCCCACAGCCTCGCACTGCCACCCTGCTGCCCTCATGGGGTCCAACCCCGTCATGGGCCTCGTGTGTTGTGACTCACTGAAGCTGAGGCATCTGCAAGAGGAGCAGGTCCCCAGCGACAGCACTTTCCCCTTCCTGAGACCTCCTCCCACCTCCTCATCCATGGCATTAGGGTGAGTCTGAGGGCACCCCGCACACTGGCTGGTGACCACATCCCAGCCTGGCAGAAGTTCCCGGCAGCACTGAATTCAGCGTGCCCTGCTGCCATGCACTGTCTCGTGGAGGTGGCAAGAGGAAGAGAAAGGGCAAGGTGAAAATGTCAGAGTCTCCAGCACTGTCATCCCTGTGCTGAGAAACAAACAAACAAACACGCCAGAAGGACGGGATGCCATCCAGAGGGACCTCGACAAGCTGGAGAAGTGGGCCTGAGTGAACCTCATGAGGTTCAACAAGGCCAAGTGCAAGGTCCTGCACCTGGCTCGGGGCAACCCTCACTGTCGATACAAGCTGAGGGATGAAGGGATTGAGAGCAGCCCTGCCGAGAAGGACTTGGGGGTACTGGTGGATGAAAAGCTGGACATGAGCCACCAGTGTACGCTCGCAGTCCAGAAGGCCAACTGCATCCTGGGCTGCATCAAGAGCAGCGTGGCCAGCAGGTTGAGAGAGGGGATTTTGCCCCTCCGCTCCGCTCTGGTGAGACCCCAGCTGGAGTCCTGCATCCAGCTCTGGAGCCCCCAGCACAAGAAGGACAGGGACCTGTTGGAGCGGGTTCAGAGGAGGCCACAAAAATGATACGAGGGCTGGAGCACCTCTCCTGTGAGGACAGGCTGAGAGAGCTGGGGCTGTTCAGCCTGGAGAAGAGAAGGCTCTGAGAAGACCTTATTGCGGCCTTTCAATACTTAAAGGAGGCTTATAGCAAAGACGGGGACAATCTTTTTAGCAAGGGCTGTTGTGACAGGACAAGAGAAATGGTTTTAAACTAAAGGAGGGTAGATTTTGACTGGACAGAAGGAAAAAATTTTTTTGCAATGAGGGTGGTGAAACACTGGAACGGGTTGCCTGGAGAGGCAGTGGAGGCCCTGTCCCTGGAAACATTCAAGGTCAGGCTGGACAGCACTTTGAGCAACCTGATCTAGTTGAAGATGTCCATGCTCATTGCAGGGGGGCTGGGACCAGATGATCTTTAAGATCCCTTCCAACCCAAAGCATTCTATTATTCTATGATTTATAAAAATCTAGTTGTGCCTAATGGATTTTTATGATGGAGTAAAAGAGTGCTCCTCCATTTGCTAAAAGCAGTTCTCAGTGTAAAATAAACACAGTACTGAAAGCACATTTCTGCAATAGTAGAAAGAGTTCTCCAAGCCTGCATCATGTGCCCCCTGAGAAAGTTAGACCAGCAGTGAACATTGATCTGTCCATCAAGGATTCGGGAGTGGAATTTGCCTCCTTCCTTCTTCCCACTCTGCTCACTGAACCACTGTGGAGTGTCATCAAGAGATCGTTTCTCCTTCACAAGCCCAGCAGAGATGAGGTTTAGTGGACTGGGAAATGCATCCACAGGTACTGACAGAAAATGCATGCACGGCTTTTAAACTTCATAAAAAAGAGATTATGTCATCTCATGGTCTAACATATTGCCTAAATCTGTTGTGTCACTAAATTGGTATATATACCTATAATTACAAATACTTAATGGCTGATCATTCACAGTGCAGTGAGCTTCTTTATGCCAGGAAAATACTGAATCAAATTTTTCAGGGAATTAGGGAATTGCTGTCAATAAAAATAAATAATGCATTTATGCTTTAAAATCATTTTAAATAAGCTGCCATGGATTCACAGAACACATCATCACACTGGAAGTCAATGATCCACAGCTCAGCTTCCAGTCCCAGTAGAGTATTTAATTCATAGTCTAATTTATGTATTTGTTTTTCTTCCCCCACAGGAATTAGCAGCCCATAATGCTGTTAATGCTCTTCAGTCAGCCTATGGTATAAGATACAGATATGGTCCTGCATCTAGTACTTTGTGTAAGTCTTCCTCTGGCACAGGTTTGTGACTTTGACCTACCTATAGTAAGAAGGAAAGCACCTTTCTTACAACAAAGCAAGCAAACACTGTTTAGAGTGAACTTTGTTCCAGTTGTGGGTAGTGAGGAAGGCGGAAGATGAAGTTTCGTAACTGATTTAGTCAGTTGATTGCAGTAAGATTAAGTCAATTGATGCAATAAAATAGATTAAAATACAGTGCATTTAAGAGGCAAAATCCAGCAAATAACATACAAAACCAGATTTTTTTAAAAGAAAGCTAAAACAAAATCTTGAAAAGCATATCTTTATCAGATACTGTAAATGCACTACTAAGTTATAAAATATTTGGGAGGAAATAATTCAAAGTAGGTTTCATTTTTTACCATTACTTTGCCTCTCCTTCTGTGCAGTTGTGATAGATACAGCTATTCACAGAGCTCATTCTAAAATTTAGGACGGTCTCTTTAAAAGCTAGGTTTCAACTGTCTGCGTGTCTAGATGATGATAAAAGATAGGAATAGTATCTTTATTTGGACATCTTCCATTTTTCACAGAGCGATTTCAAATGGATTTTTCCCCATGACAAAATATCTTCAAAATATGCTTTTTAAGTGTGTAACAACATTTGTCAGGCAAGGTAGACAGGTAAGAGGAAAACAAGTTCAATCGGTTTCAACGAGACACTTTTTTCTTTTTACTGAAACTATGAGTCCTGAATGCTCTCAGTAATGATAACAGACATTGAAAAAGTGAGAAGCTTAAGTAAATCGCAAGATTTTTCACAAGTAACCTCCTGCATCTCCTCTGCTGTTGCTGTGTTTTGGCTAGAGCTCCACTTCATCTTGCAGCACAGTCATCACCTTGTGCTCATTACAGTGCAGTCAGGTGCTATGTCGGAGGAAGAGCAGTGTGAATTAATGCCAGAATTGCCCAGAAGACAGCAGGCCACAGGAGAGATGGATCTTTATATAAATATAAGTGTCTTGGGTAATCAACATATGGAGATAATGAAAGCATAAGAAGCACACCTCCCCAGGCAGGTTTGTTAATATTAGACACCACCTATGCAAATGCTCTCACGCTGTAAGGAAATGGTGAGAAAACAAGATGGAAATGAAGAGAATAGAATTTTAAAAGGAGAATGTATATTACTTTATCAGTTTTCTCCCTTCTGCCTGCAAAGCAATTGCCTGAAAAACCCATGTTAAACCTAGGAGCATGCAGAGCTCCAGTTCAGCTGGGAGGTCTGTGTGGAAGCAAACCTTCAGACCGCACTCACCTGGGGATAAGAATGATTTGAGGCTTTATTCTAAATGTTCTCTTTTATTAAAAAGTCAGTTATTAATTTTTCTCCTGTGAAAATCAAGGGTCTAATCCCGTATTGTGCTGAGCACCATTCACCAGGTGCTGGGTGCCCATGCCCTTCTCTGAAAGGTGTTCAGGATCAGGGCAAGCAACAGCTGGAGTTGCAAGTATGGTCACTGAGCCGTGGAGACACAATGCCACAGGAACCCTCTGGTGCTTTCAACATGACCTGTATTTAACATTTTAAAAATTTTCTCTGAATTCCCTCTTTCAGATGTGAGTTCTGGTAGCTCTATGGACTGGGCCTACAAAAATGGCATCCCCTACGCGTTTGCGTTTGAGCTGCGTGACACCGGCCACTTTGGATTTTTACTTCCCGAGACGCTGATCAAACCCACCTGCACAGAGACTATGCTTGCAGTTAAAAACATAACTCTTCACCTGATGAAGAAATGTCATTGAGAGCTATTCCTAGGAGCTGGAAGTGAGCGTTGCGCTTCCAGTGTTGATGCCTTTCGGTGCGTTCAGCTCCCATTCTGAGCTTGGCCACTTCAAAATTATAGACACTAATGGGAATATGGTATTGTTTCTACCAGATTTGGCTGGTGGAAAATGGAAAAATAATTTAATTTCTGCTATACAAAAGTCCATAAAGTTGATATACTTAGTTACCAGTTTGGCATAAAATACTCTGTTCTTTTTGCAATAAAGCTTTGATTCTGTGCTAGCAACCTCAGTGGGGCAGGTCCAGGTCCACAGACAGGTGCCTGAAAGAAAACACCAATTACAAACAGCCCCTGGCCTTACTCCTTTCCCTAACAGGAAGACCTCCCTTAGTGGGGATGCTTGAACCAAGGGATAAAGTTTACATTCATGTATATGCACTCTGTGACCCAACACAGGCCCATGTCTATAGCAGTAAATGGCATATAGTTGCAGCTGGCCGTGCTGCAAGTGGCAGTGTGGCTTCCTTCTGCATGTATACATACATACGTATATGCACTTTGGTGATTTTTTTCATGTAATGCAAGACTTTGACCCAAGGTTTCCTTTAACTTCAGAGAAACCTGTTTTCAAATGTATATGTTGGAGTGGACTCAAAATCAACATACTGCCTTTGAAAAATGCCGCTTTCCTGGAGCTGTGTAAGAATGATAAAGAAATGTTATATGAGATATACAATACTCTGCTTCTTAGAGAGACAAAGCAACTTGCTATGACTTGGAACTCGGAAGCTGGCAGTTGACTGGTGTGCCTGGGTTCTGCTGTAGTCAGTGCCCATTTCCACCAGCCAAGGATCTAGCCTTAAACTGTAATTAACTGATGTTAACTGATGTTTTATTTATCAATACTCTTGCAGCGAGTTCTGTAGCTCTATGGCTAGTGGCTGTTCTTCTTGGAAGTCGTATTTTTTGCATGTTTTCAAGGAAATAATAGATTCTTAAGTGACCTGAAGATGAAAGCAGAAGCTTTACAGCCAAAATACAGCAAATAAGCACCATGTTTGAAAGAATAATTATGAAAGCACAGAGAATATAACAACATCTTGAGGCTTCTTCTGTACTTTTAAAATAGTATTTTTTTGATCTTATTATATCTGCAAAAGCATATATTTCAGTTTATTCATTTTCAGTTTAATCTTCTGCCATAACATGCTAAATAAAACATGTTTGTTAATAAAATCATCAAAGCCTTTTGAAGTATTCACATTTCATTTAATTGTTGAAGCTTTACTTCAAGGATGTGACAACTTTACCTGTCTGTAAAACATTACTGACACCAATGACGCAATATTTTAAGAACCTTATGTCCTCTCTAAATAAAGTACTTAGCAAATGGGCAACCTTCATGAGACTAGGGAGCACTGTATTTATTTAAGAATACCATTGTTTTCAGGACTGCAAAAGGCAATCAGTGAGCAAAGGTGACAGAATTGCATTCTAGTTGTTTAACACATTGTTACTAAAAAGTATTTATTTTAAGCAAGCTTTCTGAAAGCTTGTTCAGGTTTGGCTACTTCAGATTTGTTTGAATAATGCAAGTTTCTATTATGATTTAATAAAAATCTAGGGGACAGAAGCTCTCGAAATATTTATCCACTGCTCATGTCCAATTTCCAATTGCTTATGACCATGATCATTAAATATTATTTTGAAGACAGCAGTAACTGTCTTTTGCTGTGCACAGATTCTTGAACGGCAGTCTTGATAGTGGTGTAAATTAAATATTAGCACCAATTGTCCAGAGTTATTCTGGGTTTAGGTGACCAGACTGAACTATTACAAGGACATAAGTGACTGAAGTGAAGGACAGAAGGTGTTAGAGATGCCTAATCAGCATGAGGCAAATTTACCTCTGGATTGCTACAGTAAAAACCTTTCCAAGTATGGGCTATGAGAAACCAGATTCAGATGCGATGGTTTGATTCCTGCTCATAGTCTGACAGTTCGCCATATGAAACATTTCAGCTTTATCTTCTTACCATCACATCTCCCCTGGTACCGAAAAGTAATTGAATTCTTGGAGCAAGAAAGGAAAAAAAACCCCAACAACTCATGTTTTATTTACCAAAAGGACCTAACATTGGAGATCTAGTTGACCTTCAATAATTGCAAATATTCTAACACTTATCTAAGAAGCTTTGGCATTTAGAAGCACCTGCTATCCAAAACAGTCCATGACTAAAGCTACATCCTGGCATCCGGATGGCCTCAGCCTGAATGCTGTGTGTTATGTGCGACTGAAAACTCTGAGCCGAGCTGAGCCCTGAAGACCCGTGCAGGGTAATTTAGTGCCCCACAGCTGAATACAAGTGTAACCAGTCTCCGAGCCCTTTAATTTCAGGGTCACCGGAGCTGATCAGAAAGACAGTCACCAGAAAATAACAAACCCCGTTTCCTGAATTAAGAATTTGTAAGACAATTTATCAGCAAGGGTGATTCTAAATAGAGTAGTTTATCCTCAGGAAAGAACTACTAGAAAACAGCTATTTGGATATGGAACGACAGCCTTTTGTGACTTACAAATGTTACTTCTCTGAACAGCTCTTTTTTACCTCCATAATTGCTTACTTCTCTTCCCTTTGTACTTCTCTTCAGCAGTCTTTTTTGCCTACAGGATAACAGAATTGATAACTAGTTTTGAGAAAAGTGAATTTATTTTATGATCGTATGGATAGTTTATCATTCAACACAATAAAAAGTACGTGAACAGTAAAACACTGGTTATTAGCCCAGCAGTCAAAATCACATCTATAATGATTACGTGAAATCCAGGAGTCGCACTTCCATTGATTATTGACAGAATAATTATAACCGCTTCCGTTACATGGAAAAAGTGCTCACACAAGCTTTTGTGCACATCTGTTCCTTTTTTGTGATAGTTTTAATTTTTTATAAACAAATTACTTCACTCTTGTGAGACCCGACCCGGAGTCCTGCATCCAGCTCTGGAGCCCCCAGCACAAAAAGGACATAGAGCTGTTGCAGCGGGTTCAGAGGAGGGCCACGAAGATGATCAGAGGGCTGGAGCCCCTCTCCTATGAGGATAGGTTGAGGGAGCTGGGGTTGAGTTCTCTTCTCAGCCTGGAGAAGAGAAGGCACCGGGGTGACCTTATAGCAGCCTTCCAGTACCTGAAGGGGGCCTACAGGAAGGATGGAGAGGGGCTTTTCACAAGGGTGTGTAGAGATAGGACAAGGGGGAATGGCTGTAAACTAAAAGACAGTAGATTTACATTAGATATTGGGAAGAAATTCTTCACCATGAGGGTGATGAGGCACTGGAACAGGTTGCCCAGAGAAACTGTGACTGCCCCATCCCTGGAAGTGTTCAAGGCCAGGATGGATGGAGCTCTGAGCAACCTGGTCTAGTGGAAGGTGTCCCTGCTCATGGCAGGGGGGTTGGAACCAGATGATCTTTAAGATCCCTTCCAACCCTACCATTCTATGATTCTCTGATTCTATAAATTAATGTGAAGGAAACAGGCCTATGCCACTTTAAGTCACCCTTCCCAACAAAACAATTATCCCAAATTACCTTGAATCATCATTCCTAAACAGACTAAAAAATGGCCTTTAGAGGTCAAAAAAGGTATTGAGTTTGGTTACAAACTTTGAAGAAAGAGCACAGCTGATGTGTGAAGATCCCCATGTCTTCTTCAGAAGCTGCTTCAAAAAGGCCAGTGTATTTGGTTACACATGTAACACATAAAGCCTACGGAAAACTGCAATTCTTTCTGGAAATTTCTGAAATTTGAATAGAAAGAGTCCAAATGACCTTGAACACCAACGTGCATTTACTTAGAAAGTTCCAGTGCCAATCCACTTGTCCATAGCAAACTGCAAGGGTGCAGATTGCGCTGCCTAATCAAGGATTGCGCAAAATAACTGTTTATTGAAAACACTGTGTCTAGTACTGAAGGTTGGGAAGAAAGCATTATATTTCCTACCAAAAATAAGTTACTATTCAACTGTTCTAGTTTATTTGTGTTAAACAACCCCTTGCCTTTTTATGTTTACATTCAATTTAATGGTACCACTCAATTAAGATATTTGGTAGCATGGGCAGAGTAAGCAGTATCTTTGAAAGCCCTTCGACCTTTCCTTTGGCCATGTGAAACTGCTCTATCATTTCCATAGTTCACTGCTAAATAGCAGTCACATTCATCATTAAAAAAATGTTAGTCTCATGCATAATGATTAAATGTTTTTGACTTCTGTGCATAACAGCCAGATGTTACCATTTTCATGCAGTTGTTAAGTGACGGTAACACCAGAGTAATACCTCAGATGTGTAGAGATACAACTACCGCCCTCCTGTAGAAAACAGGGCAGGAGAGCAGGAGTTGAAATCAATTGCAGAGAGACTTTAAATATAAATCCTGTGACATTAGCTACACTTCTTTAAAAAACTTTTTTAAACGCTCACCACACAAAATACCTTTTCTGAGTTCTAAGTTTTAAAATCTTCTGTCCATTGAAAACGTAGACCATTTGGCATGCTTAATGTATTCCCGATTCTCAAATTCACTCAGGATAAAAAAATAAGGTCCAAAGAGCTGTAATTGCTTCCTCAGTCAGCTGCGCAGGAAGAAAGCTGGGTGCGGGGAGAGCTGCCTTCTGGCTGCCGGCATCAGTAAGCTTTTAAGCCGTACCAGCACCACGGAGTCAGCAGTATCGGTGCTGCTGGTGGCTCTGTCTTGGATGAAGGTGAACTACTCCGGAGTGGTTCTCGCAGTCCTCGGCTGAATGAGCCTGTCGCTCCAAGTGTGATGCGCTGGTTGAGGAGCTCATCAGACATTCACAGCCTTAGGCTGCACGTGGTGTCAAAAGGGCCTGCCTTAACAACAAGGTCTCCTGTTAATATCTGCGAACCTGGGATGGCCAGAGTCACCCCAGAGGGGTGAGCTACCACGTGGTTCTCCTTTGCAAATGACGTCTGGGGCAAGGACATGTAGAACAGGCGAATCTTTAGACCCTGAATGCTTGTCCTTGCCTGACAGCCAGGAGCGGTCAAGCAGAAAGTCTTGGCTCTCTCCGCTTGCAGATCCTTTCGAGCCCTCTCCTGAGAGACAGAGTCAAGCATGGCAGGGCTTGCCCTTGGATTTAGACATCAGGGAATGC